GTAGCCATGAATTGCGCGCATTGCGCGCGAGAATGAGTGAAGCTCAGGAAGAACGCGAAGGAGATGCAGCTGTTCACGCCGAATGCTCCATTGGAATTTGTCGCGATTGATATACTCGGAGAGCTCATCACCACAAGTCGGGGCAACCGGTACATTTTAGTGATCAGCGACCGCTATTCAAAGTTGGTATGAACCGTGCCGTTGAAGAAGATTTCCGCCGCGCACATTGCGCAGGCCTTTGTACACAACTGGGTTTTCATTTATGGACCCCCTGTGAAGCAGCTGTCCGACAATGGGACGCAGTTCACAGCCAAGTACTTCCAGAATATTTGCAGAATTCTTGGCATCAGGAATGTTTTTACAACTACGTACCACCCACGTACGTGGTGACGTTCGCCTACAACACACAAGTTCATCGAACTACGAACATCGCCCCATTTGAGCTGATATTAGCTCGGGCACCGAGAAGCCTTACGCTACAGGGGCAACCTCATTTGGAACAATTTGGATCCCTGAGAGCCTATTATCTAGAATGGCAATCATGGTTGGAGAGTCTCATGAAGACCGTGGACAGGAGCTTACGCAAGGAACAGGCGAGATATAAACAAAATTTCGATGCCAGACTTCGCAGGCCGAAGTACGACATACGGGTAGGGTCCTACGTGTTCCTTCGAAAGGAGCAAGGTACGGCTACGGAACCTAAACACAAATTGGCACAAGTGGCCACGGGTCCGTATGCAGTCAAACAGTCAGACAGGAATACGGTTTTCATCGCTATTGGTAATCAGAAGGAACGCGTTTCGCGAGTAGAACTGGCCCCAAGTCTGATGGAACAAGCGCCCACATCAGGTCTACATCAGGCCCTACAGTACCTAAGCGGACACGTGACAGATCAAGGACGCGACGCGATGGCCCATCGCGTCTCGTCCTTGATTTGTCACGCTGTCACTCTCCGGAAGAGTGAGGACGACTTTTACGCGCGGGCGAGACACAAGAGGCCGAGAAAAATTTGTTTAGTCGAAATCGGTCGGCGGAGATACCGCAAGATCTACAGCAGATAGTTAATTCTGAAGAGTTCGTGACATCGGAGTATCTTCAGAAGGGGGAAGAAAGTAACCCCGGACGCGAGGAAGAGGAGACGGACGCTGAGTACGTGATAGAGAAGATCATCGATCATGGGAATCAAGATGAGGAATTGATCCTCAGAGTGGAATGGTATGGATATGGGACGAAGGACGCGACTTGGGAACCGGTTGCTCAATTACCGCACAGTGCCGTGGTGAAATATTTTCGAAGGAAGAAGTTACCGTTGCCGCCGCAAGGCGCACGTGCAAAAGCGGGGTGAGCCCCGTCGGGATGTTGTTGAGTTGGAATGGGGACTGTCAGAAGCGGCGCCAAGACAAGGAAGAAGGGTGCTCACAACAATTGGGACGTCAGAAAGTAAGGATATAGAGAGAGGAAGTGAGATAGGAATTTTGCCTTGACTGCTGCACATGTAGAGAGAGACGAACGCCGCCCTGTCAGGAAATGAGGAAGCCATTGTAGTCTCGGGTCGAGATATTGCGCAAATTATTTATGATCACGCGTTGCAGTGATGCGCACGCGAAGGAACGTTTTGGATCAGGGATCCGCACCCGTCCGTACTAATTTGAAAGGAAATTTTTATGAGGTTTTTCAGGAGTGGACAAAGGAGAAGTGTTGCGTGAGCGGTGCGTGAGCAGACGTGAGACACAGGAGATGTCGCGAAATTTTAATTCAGATCAAGAAGCGAAAGGAGTTGCTGCAGATTTTTTGGCACAAGCAACAGCCGACGATACAAACACCAAAGTCGATCGTGCTCAGTCCCTGTCAACAACCCGACCGACTAACGCTCCTCGAGTGGAGATGAACGACTGTCGACGACAGACCCGTAGTCATAAGGACGGTGGCTCTGCGAGGCTGCAGTCTCTGCCCCGTCAGCACCGATCGACACCACGCGTACACCGAATACTCCTTTTCATGACCGATTCGTGCCTCCCCTTCTTTTATTCTGTCCACTGAGCCACAAGGAGGCAAGGAGAACTACAACAGGACCAAGTGACGCTCGGCGAGCTTATTAGCGAAGAATCGTCGGTCACTTGTGACAACCAACAACGCAACTCTCACGTGTTTGTTCACCCTACGATTGATTCACCGCGCTGCTCCCCCTTCTTTCTCACCCCATGCGTTTAACACCTTCCAATATTTTTACCTCTCTGTTTCTCTCATCTTTTTATTTTCATTCTGTGGTCTTCATTCTTTTACCTCAATCTTTTTTTGTGAAGGCTGGAACAGAAATCGCGCCTACGCGCAAGACCAGGAGAACCGAAAGGGAGGGAAGGACCCCGTGTTGAGGGGAAACAAGAAACTACAATGTAGCATATAAGGGATCCTGCAGGAGAGGGGCGACGCGCTTGATAAAGCTTAGACCCACCGACGTCGCCAACGATCAGAAGGAGTCTCATGGCAATGCTGATGGAAACGTCGATGACGGTTTAGTTACAAGGGGAAGCTACATGGAAATATGTCGTTTGGGACGTGACCGACGATCGCTGCAAACAAGCCTTCAGCTAAGCCCAACGAGCGTACCGCAGACGATCTGTTCTATGAATGTTGCGTTCGACGACCTCGCTTGTACCGCTGTCCACACCCGGCGTCGAATGCTGTACCTACTCTCCTCTTTCATTCTCTCTCTTCCTACTGACCCCGATCGCTTCGTTTTTCGGTTTGTGGTTTTGGGATTTTCTCTCCTTTACCTTTCTACTGTACACCTTCCTGTCGAGGGTGAAACCCGACTTCGCACCGCGACGCTAATCCCTCACCACACTTCGATGGCCGGTGCCGTCTTGAGACCATGGGTCTGTCGCAGGAGAAGGGAATTTGGAAAAAGCTAACTGCTTGTAAGTACCGCAGAAGGGAAGGGAAATTGGGCGACTGACTCTGGTCCGACGAGCCAGAAGTGTTCATAGAAGCCCCACGGAAGGTTTACCAAGAACAACATCAAGGAGCCCAAGTAGTGAAACAAAGACTGCCGAGCAGTCCGCTGCCGAGGACAGAGCCTAGGGACGATTCCCACTCGGTTTTAAAAATTGTTCCTCATCCCCTTGACGACGGCACGGTCCCGTCAATATTGTTTATCTCTATTGTGTAACTGATCTCTAAGCTGTCGATCACGGACGTGAAATGTCGCCAAACGATCCTTGAGGGTCAAGGAGGTGAAATCGGATCCGGTGGATGGCAATGGAGGAGCGTGAAGCTTATTGCTTGAGATCCGCCCGCACGAATGTGTACTCGATTCATGGGCGCTCCATCGTACAAGCCCTTGACCATAACCGATGCGTGAGAACTCGTATTCCTTCTAATTTATTTTGACAAGGAGAGTTTGTGAAATCGCCAGGGGCAAACTACGTGATAACCCGCCCGGCATTTTGTCGAAGAAATTGTCCGATCATGCCTCGTTCGCAACAGTGTATAGATGTGTTTTCTTTTGACCTTAATAGAGGGGCGGGGAACACTGTTCACTACCCTCGATGGGAATTGCCGGAGAAAATGTAACAATTACCCTGGGCATGTACACGTATATACATAGCTATTCCACCGATTCGTCTTGCATGACGCTGCAGTCGGAGACGAAGACATACGCTTTTTCAAGAGCGTACAGCAGAACGATGCGAGATTTATTTTTAAGAAAGCGACTTGCTCAAGACAACCGCAATGAACTCAGGAAAATCCCCTGACCTGTATCCGCTCCCATATGGGAATTGGACTAATTCTCCCGTATCAATCAGTGCGCGCTGATCTCTAGCCGTTAGGCCTCAACGAGGGAATTGATCGAAACTAACCGCGCAGAGAAAAGGAAAACATTTGTGTACACGAATTTTGCGTATCCTTCGGAACGAACGAGAAGTGAGGTTGTCATCCGACCTTTGAGAGACCGTGCAGTAAGGAGTCCCGAGGACAGTTTAACGACGTCATTCTAGAAATGGAAAAGTCGCGGGTCGCGATGGACGAAGACGAGGAATTCGAAAGAGCAGAAGAGAAGGACAAGAGGAGGAAGTTGGCAATGAGTACATGCGACCGCGGTAACGGGAGGCATGAGAAAAGAGGAGTAAAGTGAGGAAGGAAAGGGCACGCAGGAGGATATGGTTTAATTGTCTAAGGTGTGAGGATGACGTCGCTAATATAGCGTCACCCCGACGACGCGTTACCTCATGAGCTGGAGGTCGAGGGCAAATTACGGAGGCGACTCACGGAAAGATTTACCATCCGGAAGAGACGTGAGTAGTCGAGCGAGGATCCTGAGGTCCTCCCACGAAGCCTCTTTGATGGCTTCCGTCGCCACGCCATGAGCCCACAGGAGGGAAGCGTACACCCCCGAAGTAGGACAAGGTTTTTTAGATTTTTTGTGTGAAGGAGAAGTCTCCTCACGCGACGCGGGTTTGAGGTCACGTTTTGGAGAGAGGAGATAAGGGGCTGGTTCCCCACCGCTTTTGAGAATTGCACGGACAGACAGGCTCTCAGTGGCCTCTGGCCTTGGAGACCTCACCTCCAATGAAGACGGCGGGGCGAGAGCTCGTGCGGGGAGAGATGGAGGAGGATGGACAAGCTGGGACCTCAAGTGAATTGACGGCACAACTGGGAAGACTGGCTGCACAATGGAGGTTGAGGGAGCTGCGAGTGCTACAGGAGGCGTAGCGGGAGTGACGCGAGGACGCGGAGACGAAGGTGGTGATGGCCTGTGCAGATATTGGAGACTCGGGGGTCTGTGGGTACAACCAGTTCGGTGACGGAGAGAGGAATCTGATTCCCAAATCGGCGGCTCAGCTGAGCCTCTGCCGCTGAACACAGTGATCCTGACCACGTGTTGAACCAGGCGAAATCGCCTGCCGCACAGTGAGTCCGTCCGGGGGAGAATGATGGGCGTTGGTGCGTGAAGGAGCGGGAAGAATTTTGACGCTGGATCGCGTCCCAGTTCACGCTCTCTATTTTGTCGAGCAGCGAATGGAAATCGCTATCAACATCCGTACCGCCCGGAAGGACTGTGAAATAGAACAATCTGATGAGTTCGATGAGTTTGGGAGGCAGAAAGGAAAGACGCCAGCAGTCATAGGTTTCCCAAAGTAATGTCTCTGCCACTTTAACACACCGTTCGTTGAGGAATACGACCCAAAGCCCGTGCCGCGGATCGCAAGGATACCTTCCGTAATAAGTGAGCACTGGACCAAGCTCCGCTCAAAAACCCTGACACACTTCGAACTGTCCCCACCAGGAAGGGATTTTTGATAACGATTTGTGTAATGGTCTCGCGCAATTTGTCGGGCCTCTAGCATGTGGCATGCTACGAAGTAGCCGGTGTCCGAACGGAGACGACGCTCCGCTCGTACAGTATGTTGGAAGAAGGGATGGTTCCCGCGTTTGAGGTCACGAGAATTTTCCGGAATGATGGCTCGCGCCCAGAACATCGCTTCGTTGGTGGCAGTCCGTTGGTTATACCAAAGGCAATTTGCCTCTCTTACGGGATCCTCGGCGGCCCAGTTGATCATGATGTCTTAATAAGACCGCTCCTCTTCTGTGCGGTACCGCCAGGTGTCACAAAAATAACTGGCAGGTATGAGACCGTCGGTCAGTGGTAATTCGAGGCGATCGCAGACAGCGGACATAAACCGCGCGGAGAGTGCATGACGGCCATGAGCGGAGGAGCCGCGCAAAATAGAAAGGAAGAACCGCGATGCGGGCTCGCCAATAGTACGAATGGATGGTCATAAGGCGGAGGTGACCCGGTAATATCCCAGCGCCATCAGCAAATTTATTTTCGATATTCACGGTGTCGCGAACGCCAAGATCGCAGAACCAAGGCGCAGTCGCGAACAAGAGGGGATGCTCACGCATGGATTTTTCGTGTAGTTCTGCAAGGGAGGAGTAGCGAAGAGGAGAAGGTTTAATTTGGGGAGTGGGTTGGAAAATCGGTCGCGAAGGAGCATCATCCCGGGAAAGTCGAGGAACGGAAGGAAAACCACCGAAAGCTCGAGGTTGGGAAGGGTGGCAAGCTCGGGAGGGGTGGGCAACTCTAAGGCGCTTGCGGGTAACATTCTCGCCCGCGCGCCTCAGCGATACAGGAGGTTTGGGGTTCGTCTTGTCCTTGCCCATGGTGACCGTAGGTCAGGAGAAAGCTGAAAAAGAGTCGAGATGGAAAATGCAGTTGGAGATCCAGGAGCGAAGCAGATGTGCAAGGACGCTCAGGAGGGGGATAAATAGTGCAATAAGGGGTTGCACAAGGGGGTGAAGGGAAATGAAACTAAGTTGGAATGTGAATACTGTAGTCTGGGATTGGGGGACACACGTGTGAATATTTGCACAGTTTTTATTTTAATTATTAATTTTATTTAGTTAATTAGTCAGTATTAATTTGGCTGACACTAGATTAGATCTAGGATCTAGCGCCGCGAGCTACTGTAGTGGCTCCGGCGGGGCGATATATACCTTAGCCCGGTGACCACCAAGTCAGTAAAGGTAACCCGAGTTGCCGGAGTTGAATGTCGCCTTGGTCGAAGTCGGTCTCTACCAAGACGCTCCGTTTTACGTAAGCCTACGGCATCCTTCAGCGCTAGGGGGTCCCCTTTCTTCTTCCTTTATTTCCCTATCTTTTATTTCCCTATCCTAATTTCGCTTATTCCTGAGTTAGCCCCACCTTTTAGGATTGCGATCTGCAACGTGATGTCATTAGCCATTGGGCTTCTGTGTTGTTGCATCAGTGGTGCTTTTCTCAGAGTTCGTTCGATCGGAATATAGTTGCGACCGATCGGGTGTTGGTACTTTTCCATCAGGCAGTACGACGATGTAGCGCTGCTACGTTTTCTTCTTTCCCGACGGGCTACGTTGTGACGTCCCCGTCGAAGACCTTATCAAGGGTATGAGGTATCAAGGCGCTCCACGAGCATTGGATTTACGACCCAGCCGGTTCAGTCTGCCTACACACCCGCATTCGTCGAGCATTTGCCTTTTCAAGTCTTTACTACACCTATAATCCCGGGCCAGGCTTTTCTTCCTTTGCCCCCCCCTTTAGGGATTCGAGCTATCGCGTTCCGCAGGCCCGCATAAATAGAAAAGGAGCTCCGAACACTCCGTGGCATTGCGCCGCCGGCTGCTATGGTTGTTTCGTTTGTTTGTTTGTTTTCGGCCGGGAGGGTCTTCGACCTTGCCCACTGTCTACCAGGCGCATTGCACCACAGCATCGCATCAAACTCACCTCCCAGCGCCAAGCCGTTTCGATGTCAGCCATATCGAGCTGGTCCCTGCGCCCGTGAGGCAGAACAAGAGTTGGTTGACGAGATGTTAGCCGGCTGGGTGATCTGCCGGTCCAAGTCTGAATGGGCGTCCCCTGTCGTGCTCATCCCAAAATCAGATGGGAGCCTCCGCTTCTGCGTCGATTATCGACGTCTGAATGCGCTGACCGTGCGAGACACGTATCCAATCCCTCGCATGGACGAATGCCTTGCTTCTCTCGGCGAAACCAGGGGGTTCCCACCCTTGATTGCAACTCCGGTTGCCAGCAAATACCAGTCGCCGAGTAGGATCGTTCGAAAACCACTTTACATGTCATGCGGGTACGTATCAATTCAACCGTTACGGTCATCGTATGCCGCATACGGTATGCCTTTCGAGTGGATGAACGCCCCGGCAACTTTTCAACGTATGTGAGATGTCTTTGTATTGCAATGTGCCTGGCAGGCCGCGAACACAGTCCGACGGTCAAACAAAAAGAAGAAAAACAGCAACAGAAACAACCAGTGCCGATGGTGCGCTACGGAGCGTTCGAGACTCCCTTTCCCCTTGTGTGGGCTTCCGGCCCACGGTAGCTCAACTCCGACGGGGGGGTGAGGAAAGATGCCCGGCCCGGGAAGATAGTGGTAGTAGAGATTTCCGAAGACTTGAGTGCTCGGCGAGTGCGGGTTGGGCTTGTCTACGAGAATGTAACTGCGGTTCGCTGTGTTGTAAGGCCAATGCTCGACAAGCGTCTTCAGCACCTTGCGTATAATTCAAGGTCTTCGACGGAGGCTTGTGTAGTGCAATGTGCCTTGCAGGCCGCGAACACAGTCCGACGGTCAAACAGAAAGACGAAAAACAACAACAGCAACAACCACTGCCGATGGCACGCGCTACGGAGCGTTCGAGACTCCCTTTCCCTTTTTGTGGGCTTGCGGCCCACGGTAGCTCAACTCCGAGGGGGGGGGTTTAAGGAAAGATGCCCGGCCCGGGAAGAAAATGGTGGTAAAGACTTGCGAAGACTTGAGCGCTCGACGAGTGCGGGTTGGGCTTGTCTACATGTAACCGCGGTTCGCTGGGTTGTAAGGCCAATGCTCGACGAGCGTCTTCAGCACCTTGGGTATAATTCAAGGTCTTCGACGGGGGCTTGCTCAGCACTACCCGACGGGATCGTAACCGTGTAGCAGCGCTACTACCGACGTGTTGCCCGATGGCCAAAAACACCCTCACCAGCCCGATCGCAATCGCGATAGGTGGTACCAACTCTGTCTTATACAGTAAGACCTTCGACGGAGGCGTCGTTGCAACAGCCTTCCGACGGAACTTGAAACAGTAGCAGCGCTACACAACGTGTTGCGCGATGGCTAAAACACCTACATCGGATCGGTCGCAACCAACTCCAGTGGAACCAACACAATTACGGGAAAAATAGAGATAGAGGTAGAAATGAATAGGGAAATAAAGGAAAAAGAAAAAGGGAACCCCCGAGCGCAAAGGATAACGTAATCTGTGGTAAAAGGGAGCGTCTTGGTAGAGACGGACTTCGACCAAGACGACATTCAACTCTGGCAACTCTGGTTACCTTTACTGACTTGGTGGTCAGAGGGCTAAGGTATATATCGCCCCGCCGGAGTCACTACAGTAGCTCGCGGCGCTAGATCCTAGATCTAATCTAGTGTCATCAAAATTAATGCCAACTAATTAACTATATAAAATAAAATAATTAAAAATTAAAACTGTGCAATTATTGACACGTGTGTTCGCCAACCCGGACTACTTTTCATATCCAAATATTTTCCTTTCTTTTCACCCCCCTTTCTAGGCGCGTATTGCACTCCATATCCCCCTTCTGAGCGTCCTTGCACATCGGCTACACTCCTTGATCTCCAACTCTTTCTTCTCTTCTCGACCCCCTACTTTTCCATTCCTGACCGACGGTCTCCGCATGAGCAGGGACAAGACGAATCCCACGTGTCCTCCGCCTCCTGAGCTTGCGGGCGAAAATACTGCCCGTCGACGCACGGGGGTCAGCTTCGCGAACAAGTCTCGCGCTTCCGTCGACCTCCCTCCTATACCCCGACGTCCCCCTAATTCGGACGTCTTCGACCCGGCCTTCATCCAGGTTATCATCCCTCTTCGGTAGCCCGCCACTACCCCTCGCTCGAAGAGCTACAGGACAAAATCATGCACGAACATCCTTCCTTATTTGCCTCGGCCCAGTGGTTCTCCTCCGTGGGTATTCGCGACGTTTCCAAAATCGAACACCAATTCGCCGACGACGCGGGCATGCTTCCCGGTAATCTCCCTGTGCTTGCTATCCGCTCCTTTGACTGGCGAACCCGTATAGCAATTCCAACTTCCATCCTACGTTATCCTCCCCCACGGGGGCGTCTCACTCTGTCCCTGCGATTTATGGAGGCCGTATTCGCTCGACTTGCCATCCTCATTTCCGACACCCTCATACCCTCGTCATACAGTTGCGACACTTGGCGTTGTCGTACAGAGGGCGAACGCCTCTCCTTAGACAATCTCATTGATATCACCTTTGGTGACCCTGCCGCCGAGGCGGATCGCCTGTGGCGAAACCAACATACTGTCACATCCGATGCCATCTTTTGGACCGAACCCATTATCCCTTCGAATTTCCGACATTTAAAACGCGGGGGTATTTTCTTCTTTCAGAACACAGTGCGCTTTGAACGGCGTATTTGGTCTGATAGGGGTACTTCATCCGCTACCAAATGGTAGAGGCGCGCGAGATTTCCCGTCAGCATTATGCAAGTCGTTACCAGCGCATTCCCTCATGGTGGAGCCAGTACGAGGTGAGTCAAGGCTTTTGGACCGAAATGGGACCCATACTCACGTACTATGGCAGCTACCTGCGGGATCCGCAACACGGGTTATGGGTGGTCTTCCTCACAGAGCGATGCGTCAAAGTGGCTGCGACCCTCTTGTGGGAGACCTATGATTGCTGGCGCCTGTGGCACCTCCCCGCGAAGCTGATAGCACAAATGCGTCTATTGGACTTCTCTATCCCTCTGGGTGGCTCTGATGTCAATCGCGAAATACGCTCCCTCCTTGATACGATCGAGGGCGTGGATTGGGACTGTTTCCCTCCGTAAAACTCCTCTGGATCCTTCAATCGCCAACGTCCCTCTCTCTCCCCTGGTCGAAACCACCCAGCCGCACGCGAATTCGTGTGGTTCAACCCCTGGTAATCGACCCTCTGCTCAGCGTGGGAAGCTCAAACGAGCCGTCGATTCGGAAACCAAACACCGGTTCCCGACGAGACCTCCATCGTCACATCTGACCCCCGGGAGCTTCACGTATGTTCCCGTCCTTCCTCTCCAATTCCTCCTCGATCGGCTGTCCCTGCTTCCCCGCGCGCAGGCCTAGCCTCTCCATCCTCGTCAAAGGCGCCCCCAGCTGTCGAAATTCTCTCGGCAGGCCACACCGAAACATTGTCGGTGAGGGAGGTGATATCCCCCCCCATCTCCAACAATTCCAAAAAATACCCACGACGTCACGAGCGTATACTCTGCCATGCTCCGTGCTCACAGTGTTGAGGGAGAGGCTCTGCAAGGAGCCTCGATTGACGACCTGCGAGATTTAGCTCGCCTTGTGTCATCGCTTACAAAGGGCAACTCCTTTGGCAACCCTCCCGTCTGAGCTGACGGGCGCGACACTTCCCTCGTGATAGCTTGTCGCATCTCTATCCTGCCTGCGTGACGCTGAATTTGCGACCTCGTCATGTAGCCTTTGATCTGTAAATTGAATTTTCCTGCGTGCTCCTTCGTCCCTTCGTTTCCTCCTCTTTTTCTCATTGACGCCCATCCCGTCATAATCACGGTGGCACCCTTATACCTCCTTCCTCCTTCTCTTCACCTCGCTACTTCCTCCTCTTTTTCTCTCTCTTTTTTTTATACGCCCCGTCGCCGCGGTCGCATCTTCCTCTTTCCATTTTCCTTCTCTTTTCCTCGTTACTGTATTCCTTCTCTTGTCGTTCTCTTTTTCTCTTCCTTTCCCAACTCAGTCTCACACCGGTCCATGTTATTGTGACGACGTCACGCGGCCTCACGACTTCGTTTGCGAAGCTCATTATTGTTAACTTCTGAGAGACACGGATGAATTCGGATGTCACAACGAAAATAAATATGAATCATTGCCGCGTTCGGTCGCTCAGTCGAGCTCGCCGAGTGCAGACGACAACAAAATTTTGAGGTATACTGTACAATCCCTCCAAGATCAAACGTACGCTTCGCCCTTCATCTCTTCCGACGGACTCATGGCGTCGAGCGCAATTGTTTTCTCCACACGCTCCTTCTCACTTCCATCCCTGAGAACGCGCAATTGAGTCGTTTTGAGCAAAATAGATTTACACTCTTGGAATGTTCAAGCTCTTTTTCGTATTATTTTGCCCTCTGACCAGGGTGGGTGATGTCTTCTTCTTCACCGACGGGGAATTCCGTGCGAACACCCCTTTTCTTTTTTCCAGCTGAACCGAATGTAAACGGAAGCATTCCAAGCAGAATAACAAACGTACGGACCTTGACGATTCCTTTCGATGATAATGCAAAGGTGACGGAGATCTGGGAAAAGTACTCTCCGTGGCGCCTATGTTTGAGGTCCTGTAGTCGCCAGCAAACAAGTGGACTTCATTTTTCTCCCTGCGTGACCTCGATGAGGCGTTCTTCAGGCCCTTCGTGCGGCTATGTCGAATGCTACAACTCTTCGGGCCAGTGTCACTCCCTTTCCATCTGTGACACGGCGTTTCTGGCTTCCTCCCCGGGGTGTCAGCTAGCGAGCGGCAACTACATCCCTTTTGGTTTGCTGTCTGGACAACGTCCTCGTAACACCATCAAACTCTGGACTAAATGTCTTGGCCTCGATTCGAAATGAAACCGACCGTCCTGTCTTTACGCGCCAGCTTCATCGGGAACTGTTGTGTCCTTTGAAGACATTTTTGCACTTCGGGGTCCCTGCTGATCGTCGTGCTTAACCTCGTTGGCCAGCCACACGTCACCCTTTTCCTCGGACGGGGTAAGCCAAGGAGTTCTGTGCTGGACATCCTCCTCAACTTCTCCTGCATCCCCAAGAAAAATTCATCTCGGTGTTGAACGTTCAGTGACACCTATGTCGTTTGCGACGGCTTAGCACGTGCGCATCGCAAAAAAGACAAAAAGACAAACAAAAAAACATATGACCACCCGCCGATGAGTGCTCTGTTCCGGGTGAAGACAGCCTTGAAAGGAGTGTGGTTTCCTCCATTTTTCCCTTCGTCTGCCCGTAGGCTCAATACGTTCAATCGACCCGCGACGAGGCCTTAGAGAGGTCCCAATCCGCGCACGACAAAGAAAGATCAACTTAGCATATGTCTTATAGGAGGCAGGAGAGGGTGCGGGTGGTAAGTGTCGCCTCATGAAGGGGGTCACAAAAGGTATTACAAATGGTCATTCGACGATTCCCTCCGCGAGAGGTATCGAGGTCGAGAAGGTATGGGCAGTCGTGTTTCCGAATATGTTTTGCCTTTGAGGACCTCCAGAGAAGCTTTTAGTGTCCCCTATCACCGTCCTTACTACTCGATGTGTTTTGTAATTAGGCTCGACGAGTCCCTGAATCACTTCCCTCCTGTGCCCTCAACTTGTGCACTCGGTGAGGCATCCCCTTCTTGACACCTTCGCGACGCCACTAGGGCAGATCCTGGAGGGGTCCCCCTTAGTCATCCCGGATACCGAAGGAGTTTCCTTTCGAATAAAAGAAACGATCTGAGACGATCATACGACGTAACACACGTCGCTCCGGCGTACGCATCTTCAACCTTTCCGACTACTGTAGTTACTCCAGCTCCAGCTTTCTATACCCCATTCTGCTGCGGTCTTTCGCGGTCCCATCTCAGTGGCCTTCCTTGTCGTTGCACATATACCGAAGGTCCAGCTTATGACGTAAATACGTCCCAGTCTCTCAAGTGCCTTCTCTCTCCCTTTTTTCTCTGGTGCCCACCGTGTGGAATTTGGTGACACATCGTCAGGCCAGTACCCTCCGGGTGCCCTGGAAATTGCGCGATCCTACGAGTTGCGAGCTTGCCTACAGGGTGACGCATTGCGACGAACCCCTCAACTCGGATCGATCATGACTACAAACCTTGCCTCCCTGTATTTCATCTTCTCCAGTCCACAGCTTCTTCTCCATTAATACGGCACCGTGTGGGGAGCTTGGTGTTCCTGTCTCTGATTACAAAACGTATATATGCATATGTGTAAAAAAGGATGGCTGAACGCCGGATGAAAAAGCCGGTAAAAAGGTAGAGGGGAAAGGGACCTGAAAGTGAAAGAAAATGAAGAGGGGGTGGACGCCGCGGTTGATCATTCGATGTACCAAAAAAATAATACTTGAGGTGTGGCATTCTCCCTCGTTATGACAGACAGATTGATCGCCGTAACCAAGCTCGTCAAGCTACACACGCTCTTTGTTGGGACCTTCCTCGCCGCCATGGTCCTCCGGACTCCTCTCCACCCACTTGTAAAGTGCTGTCTTCGTGGCAAGTATACGAAACCTCATAGCGTATCGCCCCTTTGTAGCGGACAACAAAATGAACAACTACAGAGGTTGTCGGTTCGCTACTCTGACTTGGGATTGAATTGTAGATCGGTAGGCCTGGCAAATATTTTCTGCCGTTGTCTGCGACACGGAGATCGCCGTCTGCACGTCACAAAAAAACGAAAACGCAGACAAAAACTGAAACAAAAACAAAGGAAAGGGAGAGGTTTTGGTGGCAGGCGGGTAAGTAGGTTGTTCGTCGCGCAGGTCTAGTGTAGGCGCAACGAAACCACTCCGTGCCCATCGTGCTAACACATTAGTGTTTCCCTCGATCACGAAGTCGGTAGGAAGATATTACGCGTATCAAGCGAACTCGTGACCCTGTGTTGCCGTCGGGAGGACTCTTGTGCCTTCTTCGATTCTTTCAGAAAGGGGACGGATGCACTCAGCCCTTGTACGGGGCCGTGTAGTTGCACGTGAGGTCGGCGCGTCAGGGCGGTTATAGTCCATGTGGAATCATCTTGTCGCTCGTCGGGCGCACTGTAGGCGTTGCAAATGAACTGGGCAAGTGCCCTTGGGTGCGACCGGTCACGGCTTCGCCGGTGGTAAGTCTTGAGTATGTGTGCGGTCGGCTGTGAAATTTGCCAACAACATTTCGTACAAGTGCGGGTAATTCCCTGAATTATAGTTAAATTTTAGGAGACTGGCTGGAGCTCAGTCGGTGACTCGCACTGATCAATTGGCAGCTTACCATCGGCGAAACCCTATTTCTTTCGATCAAAATGAGTCTCACGGGTGCGGATCGCTGATTCAAACGTCATTCCTTCTCTGTACGTCCATGACGTGTGGGGGTGATCCTGTAGACTCCGTGCCTCCGCAGGGAATCCCCTATCTCTCTAACGCCTTGAAAACGCGTCGCGTATCCACTCCTTCCTTTGACGGGACTTCGCTCTTTGCTCTTCTGGGACGCCTCACTCTGACTTTCCCCCTTCGCACTTTTGCCTTCTCCATCGTCTCGGGTTTCCGGACTCTTCTTGACACGATCACCCCGGTAGTGCGCGCGCGGCCTGCGGTGGCAGGGGCAACTTCTTCTTCAGAAAATATCTCACAACGGCGCTTTGCGGTAACTGCGCAACCGGTTCCCACGTCGCGTCCTTCGTCCCATACCCATACCACTTCACCCTGAGGATTAATTCCTCATCTTGATTCCCGTGGTCGATGATCTTCTCTATGACGTACTCGGCGTCCGCCTCCTCTCCATCGCGTACGGGGTTACTTACTTCCCCCTCCTGAAGATCCTGCGATGCCACTAACTCTTCTGAATTAGCTATCTGCTGTAGGTCTTGCCGTATCTCCGCCGACCGATCTCGACTAACTAAATTTTCCTCGGCTTCTTGTGGCTGCCCCCGCACGTGAGGGTCGTCCTCACTCTCCATCGCGTCGCGTCCTTGATCTGTCACGTGTCCACTTAGGTACTGTATGGCCTGATGTAGACCTGATGTGGGCGCTGGTTCCATCGGAAATGGGGCCAGTTCTACTCGATCTCGCGAAACGCGTTCCTCCTGATCACCAATGGCAATGACTACCGTATATTGATCCGATCTTCTGACCTGATAAGGTCCTGTAGCGACTTGGGCCAGCTTGTGTTTCGGTTCGCTAGCCGTACCCTGCTCCTTCCGGAGGAACACGTAGGACCCCGGTGGGATCTCATATTGCGGCTTGCGAAGGCGTGCGTCGAAATTTCGCTCGTACCGGGCTTGTTCCTTTCGCAAACTTCTATCGGCGCTTCGCATTGGGCTCTCCAACCACGACAAACATTTCAGGTAGTATGCTCGTGACGAGCTGAAGTTCTTTAAAGTTGGCTGCGCTTGTAACGCAATGCTTCTCGGCGCCCGAGCTAACACCAGCTCGAAGGGCGCAATGTTCGTAGTTCGATGAACTTGCGTGTTGTAGGCGAACGTCACAGCGTCACTAAATAAGTCCCAGTCCTTAGGATGCTCTCCAACGTATTTTTGCAACGCGGAAGTCAGCCTGCGGTTAAACCTCTCTACTTGGCCGTTGGCTCGCGGGTGGTACGTAGTCGTGAACACATTGCGTATGCCGAGAATTCGGCAGACATTCTGAAAGAACCGGGCCGTGAACTGTGTTCCATTGTCCGACATCAGCTTGACTGGCGGTCCGTACACGAATACCCAATGGTGAACGAAGGCTTGTGCGATGTGCGCAGCTGATATCTTCTTCAACGGTACGGTTCGTACCAGTTTCGAGTATCGATCGCTGATCACGAGAATATACCGATTTCCTCGTTTAGTCGTAATTAGCTCGCCGAGGATGTCGATGGCGACAAACTCCAGCGGAGCTTTGGGCGTGAACAGCTTCATTTCCTTCGTGTTTCTTCTTAACTTCACCCTTTCCTGCGCTCATGCCGCGCAATTCTTCGGGACTGCATAGCAATCTAGGGCCATTGTAGGCCAATAAAAATACCTTCTCAAAGTCTTATAAAGTTTCCTGCCTCCCGGGTGGCCTGCCAATTTTGCGTAGTGGCTCAACCCTAGGACGCGGTCCCTTAACGATTGTGGTATTACCACTTGTACAAACTCTGCCGCGGTACGGCATAGAGTTCCTTCGAGTTCCTCGGTCTTCATGCTGAATGTTCTCACCTTTCCGGCGTCCATTTCTTCCTTGATGCGATTGCAGAAGGGGTCGACGGCTTGCTCGCGAATGAGCTCCTCCGGAGTGACAGCTTGGAATTGATCGAGGCGCTCAGGGGCGGTCCCCCCCTCAAGAGCGAGGATGTCGTCTAACGCGTCAAAACTGTCCTCGTCCTCCACCGTTCCCTCGGCCGGTTCGGCCATAAAGCATGGAATTTCGTCGTCGATTTCGTCGACGGTTTCTCCTGCGGTTCGCAACATTTACAGGGCATCAGCTTGGCTGTTTGCCTTGCCCTTCTTGTACTTAATCAAATTCCGAAAGGCGGAGCCTCCATCGGATTAATCTCCCGCTGGGGTCGGTTACGTTCATCAACCACCTCAATGAGGCATGGTCGGTATGCACAATGAAGTGCTCGCCATATAGATATGGTCTTAAAGTCTGTACGGCCCAAACTACGGCTAGACATTCTTTTTCTGATACAGAATAGTTTCTCTCGGCTGCGGCTAACGTTTTTGAAAAGAACACGATGGGTTTACGTTGCGCATCTGGATGCGTTTGAAATAATGCAGCGCCGATTTGATAGTCGCTTGCGTCGGTGTCTACCGAGTATGGTAGGTCCTTCTTCGGCAGCGCCAACACCGGTGGCGCCAAGATAGCGTCTTTGAGCTTGTGAAAAGCTTTTTCGCACGGTTCGTCGAATCCTTCCAACTGGACCGGTTGTCCCTTCTTCAACAGTTGATTGAGCTGGTGCGCGATTTTAGCATAATACGGAACGAATCTGCGGTAGACATTACAAAGTCCCAAGAAGCTCCTGAGCTGGGTATGCGTTTGAGGGTACCTCACTTGTTCCAATGCCACGGTTCGCGCATCGTCCACTTCCAATGTACCTGGCCGAACGACATGGCCCAGGTACTTGATCTTTTCGACGAAAAATTCACACTTGCGAAGCTTGAGCTTCACACCTGCCTTCTCCAATACAGAAAGTATTTCATCCACGTGCACGATGTGCTCCTCCCACGACTTGCTAAAAATTATTATGTCGTCCAGATACACCAAACAGCATTTCTAACGGAACGGAGAGAGCAGGATATCCATTGCTCTCTGAAACGTCGCTGGCGCGTTAGTTAGCCCGAAGGGCATTCTTGAGAAGAGATAAAGTCCTGAGTGGCACGAAAATGCGGTCTTGTCGCGGTCGCGCTCAGGGATAGGCATCTGCCAATATCCCGAGATCGCGTCCAACGCGGAGAAAACCTTGGAGTCACCAAGCGAGTCCAGACACTCATCCATGCGCGGTAAAGGGTACGTGTCGTTTACCGTTACCGCGTTTAACCGGCGATAGTCTACGAAAAAGCGCATCGATCCATCCGGCTTCGGCACTAACAAAACGGGCGACGCCCATTCTGACTGCGCCGCTTCGATGACTCCTGCTTCTAACATCTTCTGTACTTCTGCGTCCTCGACCTCCCGAGCCTTTGGACCGCCTCGGTAGGGAGCTTGTGCAATTGGCCTTGTATCTGGAGCCAGTTCAATCCGGTGGACCGTGGTGTTGATCTCACCGAGGGTCCCATCCCACATGCGGGAATACTTTTTGAACATTCGACGGAATCTTTCGCGCAGTCGGTCCGGCACGTGGCTCAGGTCGAGTTCCTCCACGTCCAGCGGGGGAGGCTCAATCCGCCGCTCCGGCTTCGTACTTGCCGTCGCGGAGAGCCTTTTCTCCCGTTCTCCTTGCTGGTCCTCGCGATCTTGATCCGACGGTTCGCATCTTGTCTTGCCCGTAGGCGTCTTGGTGGAATTAGGAAAATTTTCCTTCTTCCTTTCTTGAATTCCGAGAACTTCATCAATGGTGGTTTTGCTCTCGAGCGCAGCTTTCGGGTGCGGTAATGGTTCTGCCACCACTTGGCCTTTTTGCACCCTGACAGGGTACGTCCTAAAATTCGCAACGAGTAAACAAAATGGCCGGTCAGGCTCAACCTGAACGACACCATTCGTGCACGTCAACCTGTGCTTCTCGTATAACGACGAGTACGGCTGAACCACAACCAAGCCCGCCCTCTTCGAGGTGCATTCCACGACGCGTTGCGTCCCTGGCTCGATAGTGGTGGCTCTTGCCACTTTTACCTTAGGGGAAATTCGCTCCACCTTTCCATCGTTCTCGTCCTCTCCCGGGACGAGATTCTTTTTCCCTTTTCTCGTCGAGAACCGCCTAACTATCGGGACCTCCGAGAAATCCGCCAGCTCAACCGTTTTATTCCTTGGATAAATGGCTTCCACAAACCGGTCACAGTGGTCCGCGCCTAGAATTAGCGGGACTGCTAGTTTTTCGCATACAATAAACTCGGCTGCGGCCACAAATTTTCCAAGCCTCACAAGCATTCTAATTGTGCCGAGAGTCCGGAGTGGCCTATTGTTCGCGTCGCCAATGTCTTGGGTCGGTCAGTAGGACACTAGAGATTCCATTCCATCTGGGAGTTTCGATTTTCGCACAAGGTTTGGTCCCGCGCCGGTGTCTAGTACAGACAACACTCTGCTCATTAATCCGATTGTGGGTCCAATGTCCGCGTAAACTTTGTAGTTTTTTCGCGCAAGAACCAAAATCTTCTCGGGACATTCCCTTCGCT